TGGTTTTCAGTAGCTTTGTTTCTGTGAGTGCTATCATGTCTGGGTTTTCTTCTAGTGCCCATCTCTGTGTTCACTTGTTTTATTTGTAATTCCATCTATGTTAGTGTACATTGCCTTGAAGCTAACTTTCTTCTGTTCATTTTCTTGTCCCCTTCTTGGCGAGCATTCTGTTGGTGTGGAAAGCTGTTCCGTGGGTGAGAAGATCTGTGAATTGGTTTGCAGGGTCTCAGAGGATTTTGGGGTAGGGGGTGGGGGTTCAAGGGAAGGGGGGACAGGTAGGGTGCGGTTAAGGAGATAGGGGGGTGGACATGGAGGATACGGGATAAGGGGGGAGGAGGGATAGGGAGGGTATGGGATAAGGGGGGGGGGACAAGGAGGAAAGGCAGGAGGGGGAACATGGTGTGAATGGGGGAGGAGTGACAGGGTCAGAATGGGATGGGGGAAGGGAGGGTTGGGTAAGCATTTCAGTGGGGGCAGGTAGGGTGAGGGGACGGGAGAGTTTCTATGCAGAGGGGAGTATGTATGTATGTATGTATGTATGTATGTATGTATGTATGTATTTATAAATGTATGTATTGTCGGGGAATACGAGGGGCGTAGTAACAGTGTACACAAGATCTTTATCCCGGACACCTGGCAGGATCGCCAATGTCGGGGATTACCTTAGTTGTAAGTATAAGTATAAATGATCGTACTTAATATCCGGTCAACGGTCGCCAACGTCGGGGTCTCTCTCTCTCTCTACATAGACACCACCCAGTAGTATTAGCGACAACTGTTACTCACCGTAGCCCTGCGGGTCTTCACTCAATCCTCGCGGCGCCACTGTTCACCAGGAGAGTATCCCAGTCGATCTCCAGCTGGCCTTATAGCCAAAGATGAGTGAGAACACAGTTTGCTCTCTCCCAACCGTGTGCCCGCCTCGACAATGGCTCTACTACTAACTGCAAGGTCGCCAACTGGTGTTTCCTGTGTCTAGTAACACGTCAGTGGTATTGTGGAATTGTGGTACTAATGGCAGAGAGCTCACTCATTAAATCTGGTCACAGCCAGGTATATGTCTCTAATACTCTCACTCTTTGGAACTGTTCTATAGCAAGAAGATATATGGAGGGATAATACAAATGCAAAGGTATTTTGTATTTTACTAAAAAACTTCAAGGTATTATATCCATATCACTAACGAAACATCAAGTACATGCAGAAAGTCACTCTCTTCATAAAACTGGGGCTCGTCTAGAGGGCAACACTCCCCCTCCTGTCAATGTCAGCTGAGCGGCCCCCTTCACCGTGTGAATGCTTATGTACTTGTTTCTTTGGCGTAAAGCGCCTATTTCTTTAAATTCGCAAGGATCACTATGTTTGTCATCAACACACTATTTCTATAATGGCAATAGAACGCAATGAATCACCACACTGATCTCAAGTTCAATAACTCATTTCTACAGCAATTAACATAATATTTCACTATAATGGTGTAATGCACTGTACTTCACAATAATGACAATGAATGCAATTAACCACGGTACTGTCCGTAGATTCAGTAATTCCTTTCAAAGGCGATAACACAATTAATCACTGCACACATGGAAATGTTATTCAACACACCAACATATATATATATATATATATATATCTATATATATAATATATAAGATAATATACTGGGCATAACGCCAATAACTGGTACTCTTTATATATATATATATATATATATATATATATATATATACTCCCAGAAGCATATATATATATATATGAGGTATATATATATATATATATATTCTCTGACATAAGTTATCATATTAATGTCACATGAAAGAAATCATCAACGACACAGTAAACTCTTCAATACTTACAGGTGCATCCACACACCGCATATATATATACTGTGAGAGCTTTCTACAGCCTCACTTCTCCCAACTGTGTCCTACCGTGACATAGACATTGGTGAGCCTTGCTCACGACATGAAAGATACTCTGGCTAAATATATAGCTGACTAAAGGGGAATTGGGAGGGAAACTGAATCACCTACTTCCACCTCACTGATGTGGACTCGCCCTCCGGTGAGAGTTGAATTGTCGCTCCTGGTCCCAGCTCTCGCCTCGTTGTAGGGAACGCCCCCACACACACTGTGTAGCTCACTCCAGGAACCCAATCAATGTCCCACAATAAACGCGTCGTCTCCGTGCTCTGTTCTCCGCAGGTCCGTGCTCCTCCACAACTTCCTGAAGGGTTGGAGTCGGTCTCCTGGCCGTCGACTTCTCCTCGCAACTACATCTGCAAACCTACTTCTCGGCTGCAATCGTCCTGATTCCCAATTAGTTTTCTTCTCCCACTGCTTCCTGGTGGACTGGCCCAGCCGTTACGCCGTCACTATATGGGTGAACTGCCTCAGACGTCACATACGTCACTGCACAGACTTCACTTCTTCTTGCACAGCACCTGTCCCTGGAGCACTTGTTGCTCAATATTCCGTCGATTCCCTCTTCAGTCCAACACATGGAATGAAGGAAGACCTCACAGCGTACTTGCAGACTACGGGTGACATGTAAAATCCACGAGAGCGGGGTACAACTGTCAAACTGACAGGACCAACCTTCGCACGTCCATCCACCTTGACGTGTCATGTCAGACTGGTGGCGCCAAAGAGGCACGATCTCCGGACCCCCCTGTCTTTGTGACGTCATACTTGCCAGGGGCGGTTTTCATTGGCTCCCTGTGCCACGTCACTGTCAGTGACCAATCTGGTGCCACTGACGTCACACAGTTTTGGCGGCAAAACGGAGGGGGCCGGCGCCATATTGGCGTCCTAAAGGGCCTAAACAACAGGCCCAAAATACTTTTCTTTTACGAATTTCTCGCCAACGTAAGAACACTACACTCTCCCACATATGTCAAACTGTTGCCCGCAACGTAGTGAACGCTCGGGTAAAGTGGATATGACTCTTACAGCTGGCGTGGGAGAAATATAAGGGGGGGAGGGGAACACTGTCACATACCCCTCCCCCTTAAAATAAGAGTCATATCGGTTTAATGTACATGGGACAGGGCATCCGCAACCACGTTGTCCTTCCCTCTGATGTGCTTGATGTCCAGCCAGTACTCCTGCAGTAGTAACGCCCACCTCGTCAGTCGTTGGTTTGAGTTCCTCATCTTGTACAAAAAGGTCAGAGGGTTGTGATCTGTAAACACAAGAACAGGTCTCGCCCCTCCTCCCACGTACACGTCGAAGTGCTTCAGGGCCATTACTAAAGCCAAAGCCTCCTTCTCGACGGTACTATAGGCATGCTGGTACTTCACAAATTTCTTGGAGTAGAAAGCTACCGGCCTATGTACCTCACTCCACTCTTGGGCCAACATGGCCCCTATCCCAACGTCACTGGCATCCACGTACAGGATGAATCTGGCTGAAAAATCTGGGGATATTAATACTGGTGCCTTCGTCAACAGTTTCTTGGTCTTCTCAAAAGACTCCTGGTAGGCCTCTCCCAACTTCCATCGTACATTCTTGGAGAGTAGTTCGGTCAGTGGATGCGCTACCGTGGAAAAGTTCTTGCAGAAACCACGGTAGTATCCTATCATCCCAAGATACCTCAACAACTCCTTTCGTGTCCTGGGTACTGGGTACTCCCTAATGGCTGACACTTTATGATCTACAGGGGTCACTTCTCCATGGCCGATGACGAAGCCTAGGTACTCTAAGTGGGCCTTCCCAAACTCGCTCTTGGCTAGGTTCACGGTTAAGTTAGCATCCTCTAGCCTCCTGAACAATTCTCTGAGTCTCTCCAGGCGTGTCTTCCAATCGTCGGCGAACACTACGATGTCATCGATGTATACCGTGCAGCCTTCGGCTCCCCTCAGCAACTCATTCATCATGCACTGGAAACAACTACCTCTGTTTTTCATCCCGAAGGGCAACACTTTGTACTGGTACAGCCCGCCCGGTGTTACGAAAGCTGATATCTTCCTGGCCTCTGGAGTCAATGAGATCTGGTAGTACCCCTTGAGCAGATCGACCTTGGATACATATCTTGCACTACCCACCTGGTCGATGCAATCACTCACCCTTGGCATAAGTGGGAATCTGCCACAGTGATGGAGTTCACCTTTCTGTAGTCTGTACAAAAGCGGAATGTACCATCGATTTTCTTCACTAACAAGCATGGGGAACTCCACTCACTGTTGCTAGGCTCTGCAAGGTCGTTCTCAAGGAGATACTCCACCTCCTTCCTCATCAACTCTCGCTTCTCTGGGCTTACCCTATAAGCGCTCTGCTTGACGGGCCTGGCGTCCCTCACCTCTACCTCGTACGTTACACTCTTGTGTCGTCGGGGCACGTCGGTAAAGAGAGAGGCATTTTCCCTTAACAGATTCGTCAGGTCCGCGCTCTGTTGTCCTTCCAAGTGTTGTAACTTGTCCTCGATCTTCGCCAAACTCTCCGAATTGGTGAGATGGGTGCCGTCCACCCTGGACCACTTTCCTTCCTCCTCTGGAAATTCCTGATCCACTTGCATGCACAAAATCATCTTCTGCTGGGGGTCTCGAGTCATCGTTCCGCCCTGCTCGGCGGCTCCTTCTTCCTCAGGGAAGAAAGGCTTCAGGCGGTCAACATGACACACCTGTGTCTTGCGGGGTCTATCCAGCTTACCGATTTCATAAGTTACAGGACCCAACCGCCGTAGCACCCTGTACGGTTCCTCGAATCGTGACTCAGTCACTCGGCTCTTCCCTGGCAGCAATACCATAACTTGGGACCCAACCTGGAACTCTCTTGGCATAGCTTTCTTTTCATACCATTCCGACATCTTACGCTGCGCCTCCTTCAGATGTTTTCCTGCAAGTTCCTTTGCCAAAGTGAGACATTCCTTGAACTTCCGAACGTACTCGTTGACCGTTCCCACGGTCACTCCTGGTGTCCATTGTTCTTTCAACATGGACAGAGGACTTCGTACCTCATATCCATACACCAGCTGGAACGGCGAGAAACCTAACGACTCTACCACTGCGTTACGTATGGCAAACGACGCAGGGCATACTGCTTCATCCCACTCTGCTCCCTGCTCTGTACAGAACACTCTCAGAACGGTCTTCAAGGTGGAGTGAAACCTTTCGATCGCCCCTTGCGACTGCGGTCGGTAGGGCGACGACCGAATCTGAGTCACTCACCAACTTGCCACGGTCTGTCTGAACCATTTGGACTGGAATATACTTCCACAGTCCGTATGAATTTCCCTGGGCATTCCCACCCAAGAGAAAAATCGTTGCAGCTGCCCGGCTACTCCTCTCGACGTCAAATGCCGCATTGGGACAGCTTCTGGAAATCTGGTCAACGCACACATGATTGTCATCAGGTAGGTATTTCCTCGTTTCGTCCGTGGCAACGGTCCCACCCCGTCGACCAAGAGACGCTCAAATGCAGGCGCAAACGCAGGAACAGGGACTAACGGGGCCTTTGGTATCGCGGGTTGGCTCTTCCCTGCCCTCTGGCAAGGTAAGCACGTCTTACAATAACGCCTCTCATTGGCGTCCATACCTGGCCAGTAGAAATGATCCCTGATCTTACGCAGCATCTTGGTCACCCCCAGATGACCTGCAGAGTCCACAGAGTGCGACAGATCCAACACTGCCGCTCTGCACTGGGCCGGCAACACTACCTGGTGCCTCGTACCTAGAGATTCTTCTCCGGCCTCCATCCTCACAGGCCTCCACTGTCTCATCAGCATTCCGTCCTGTATGTAAAAATGGGTGGCCCTCTCAGGACCAACATGTCCTCCTTTGGCCTCATGAATTAATTCGGGGAACTCTATCTGCTGCAACTCTCCAAGACGAGTGCGGTCTACCCTGAAAGAACTGGCGAGGGTCACCTGTAACTCACCATCCGGGATGCCTTTGCCCTCCACTCGTTCTCCGGGTTCCATGAAGAGGTGATTGATTCCCAGGCTGTCGGACGTCTCCTCTTCAGCCCTATCAGATCCACTTCCTCCGTGTCCATCGCACTGCTTTGGGAACACAGCGCATACAGGGAACGCCACCGCGGTGATTCCCTTCTCGTCCCCACAGGCGTCTAACACTGCGCCTTTCTCCTTATAGTGCTCCAAGCAGTCCTCGCCCTTCACGAGGTTAGGGAGGACACATCCTCCACATGCGTCATTTCCAAGGATGACTTGCGCCTCCAACTTGGGCATTGGTGCGCAGACCCCCACCACTAGGGTCTGGCAGCCATAATCAGAATTCAGAGTCACCTGGTGTAGGGGCATCCTCACTGGGCCTCCCACAGTGGTCACAACTGCCACCCCCGCACTGGTACTCTCGTAATCCTCGGGGAACAGGGTTTTGCTCACCAGGGTAAAATCTGCCCCAGTGCCTCTCAATATCTTCACCGGAATGGGGTTTGCGTCCCCTATCCTTACGGTTCCCTCACACACGAATGGGTGAACTCTTTTCTCCCCACTCAGTATGGGCTCATCCCGCACCCTCTCGGCCATTTGGTCCTCGACCCCCATGAAAGCAACGTTCCCCTGCTGCTTAGGGCGTTTGCATTCCCACGAGAAGTGTCCGAATACCCCACAATTGTAGCAGTGGAACTTCCCCGGCAGTGACCTTCCACCACTGCTCGCCCTGGCAATGCCTCCAGAGGCCGTCGCTCCATGGGTCTTCCTCGCGCCATCCGTCGTCTTCTTCGTCGCAGCAACAGCTCCTGAGCTCTCAGCTTGGGACTTCTTTACCGGCTCCACAGCACTCTTTGATTCTCTACTGTTTCCACTCGAGAGGTGGGACTTGGAAGAACTCGCTCCTGTCCTCCATCCGTCCGTTCTTCTATAACTTCTACCATATCCGGAGTATACGGGCGGTCGGTGCTGTCCCTCTCGGCGTGGTCGTAAGGCTTCTTCCAGCATATCAGCTCTGTCGGCAGCAGCCCTCAGGTCCTTTATGTCCACCTCCTTTACTCTAACCCTGATCTCAGGAGAGAGCACGGACATAAACTACTCCATGACCATCAGCCTCTTGATGTCTTCAGCTGACTTCGCTCCTTCGGATTCCAGCCACTTCAGGAACTTTCTCTCCATGTCCCTCGCCGTCTCTGCATAAGATTTTCCTGGCGAACGGGTACATTCCCTGAACCTTTTCTTGTAACATTCCGGCGTTAGCTTGAAAGAGTGGAGCACGGCTCTCTTCACAGCATCGTAGTTGGTACACTCCCTGAGGTCGAGCATGTTGTAGGCTTCACGAGCTTCACCGGTGAGCCTACTCTAAACCAGCTCCGCCCACTCTGCTCTCGGCCACTTCTTCAATGTAGCGACCCTCTCGAAGTGGTCAAAGAAACCTTCAGCTTCGTTGGGCACAAAGACCGGCAAGTCTCGGTCTCTCACTCGGCGGTCTTCCTGCTGTGGCGGGGCAGGTGGGGTTAGCCCTAGCTCAGCTCGCTTCAGCTCAACCTCTTGCTGCTTCAGCCTAGCTTCCAGCTCGCGCTCCTCTCGTCTCAGCTGCGCCTCATGCTCACGCTCTTCCTTGCGCAGCTGTGCCTCTTGTCTTGTTCCTCACGCTTCAGCTGTGCTTCCCATTCCTCACGTTTCAGCTGTGCTTCTTGCTCACGCTCTTCCTTGTGCAGCTGTGCCTCTCGCTCCTCCTTGCGCAGCTGTGCCTCTCGCTCTTCTCGTTTCAGCTGTGCTTCTGCTTCTCGCTCTTCCCTGCGCAGCTGCACCTCTCGCTTTTCCTGGCGCAGCTGTGCCTCCAACTGCAGCTTCAATATCTCCAGCTTGACGCTGCGCCTGCTGCCGCTGGATCCCCTGCTGCTTCCACCAATGCTCAAATGTTCTCCCACACTGGCAGCTGGTGTCGGTGGCCGTTCCTCCCCCAAAGCCTCATCTCGGGCCCCGAGTTGTGCCATGATCTCAAGCCTTCTCTCTCCCACTTTGGAAGATCTCAATGTTATCCCAAAGTGGTCGGCTATCGTTTGCAGCTGTGCCTTGGTGCAATCCTCCAGCACCTGCTCATCTCTAGTGTCAAATGAACCTTTCTACCTTATCATCCTCATTTTGTGCTACGAGTGATAACCTGTACCCGATACCTAATACCACTGTAAAGTACCACAATTGCAACCTTTATCTTGATCGTTATCCTGACCGTTACCCTGATCGTTATCCTGACGTAATCCTGATCGATATCCTAGTCGATATCCTGACCATAATCCTGGCAAGGTCGCCAATGTCGGGGTTTACCTTAGTTGTAAGTATAAGTATAAATGATCGTACTTAATATCCGGTCAACGGTCGCCAACGTTGGGGTGTCTCTCTCTCTATATAGACACCACTCAGTAGTATTAGCGACAACTGTTACTCACCGTAGCCCTGCAGGTCTTCACTCAATCCTCGCGGCCCCACTGTTCACCAGGAGAGTATCCCAGTCGATCTCCAGTTGGCCTTATAGCCAAAGATGAGTGAGAACACATTTTGCTCTCTCTCAACCGTGTGCCCGCCCCGACAAGGGCTCTACTACAAACTGCAAGGTCGCCAACTGGTGTTTTCCGTGTCCAGTAACACGTCAGTGGAATTGTGGAATTGTGGTACTAGTGGCAGAGAGCTCACTCATTAAATCTGGTCACAGCCAGGTATATGTCTCTAATACTCTAACTCTTTGGAACTGTTCTATTGCAACAAGATATATGGAGGGATAATACAAACACGAAGGTATTTTGTATTTTACTTAAAAACTTCAAGGTATTATATCCATATCACTAACGAAACATCAAGTACATGCAGAAAGTCACTCTCTCTTCATAAAACTGGGACTCGTCTAGAGGGCAACACTCCCCCTCCTGTCAATGTCAGCTGAGCGGCCCCCTTCACCATGTGAATGCTTATGTACTTGTTTCTTTGGCGTAAAGCGCCTATTTCTTTGAATTCGCAGGGATCACTATGTTTGTCATCAACACACTATTTCTATAATGGCAATAGAACGCAATGAATCACCACACTGATCTCAAGTTCAATAACTCATTTCTACAGCAATTAACATAATATTTCACTATAATGGCGTAATGCACTGTACTTCATAATAATGACAATGAATGCAAGTAAGTAAGTAATTATCAAAAGAATGCACCAAACCGGGAAGGCTATGTAGCACCATCAAATACGCAAAATAATCAGAGGGCGCTAAATATCACCAAGGATGCCAATACGAGAACAAAAACGCATAAGGCGAACGATATCAAAAGTATCCGAGTCACCAAGAATTCTATCGAGGGACAGGTGACCGCGAGGGGCGGTCGGAAAGCAAGACACACGCTCGTCCTGGAAGTCAGGACATTCAAGAAGGACATGCACGACCGTAAGAGGGACAATGCAACTAGGACAATAAGGAGCAGGGCGGCGCTCCATCAAGTGACCATGGGTTAAGCGAGTATGGCCAATACGCAACCTCGCCAGAGCTGTTTCCCACCGCCGGTTACGGTGGAAGGAGGACGGCCACGAGGAAACACAACATTTAAGAGTACGTAGCTTGTTACCAGTAACAGACAACCAAGAAGCCTGCCAACAGGTAAGGACTGAGGAATGGATAACCGGGTAAAAGTCGGAATACGGAATGCCTTTACGAGAGATGGGACAAGAGCGGACAGCTTCCTTAGCGGCAGCATCCGCACGCTCATTTAAAGACACGCCAATATGGCTGGGAACCCAACAAAACTCAACCGACTTAAATTTACTGTGAACGAGAAACAGCCAATGCTGGATCTCGACAACTACTGGATGAACTGGATTAAAGCACCCGAGAGCCATGAGGGCACTACGAGAGTCAACAACAACCACAAAGGAAGACTGACAACAAGAAAGCAGGAGACGAAGAGCATAGAGAATAGCATAAAGTTCCGCTGTAAAGATGCTAGTCTCCGGAGGCAAGCGACACATATAAGTGCGATCAGGAAAAACAACAGAGTAGCCAACACCGTCCGCTGACTTAGACCCATCGGTGAAGACAGAAACGGAGCGGGAGTGAGAAGAAAAGTGCTCAAGGAAAAGGCGTTTTAGAACCGTAGGAGGGGTAAAAGCTTTAGTGATACGA